TGTACACAGGACAGCCTTTGTATGAAGCTGTGTGTGGTCCAGCGCATAAAGCGCATTTAGCGGGAGTCGACGGGGGTTTTGTGCATGTGGCGGAAGGATGGTTATCCCCACACTTTACGCACCGAGGGGAATGGTGACAGTAATTACTCGTATGAAAGTAGGCCTGACAGTCTTTGCATTGAGGAGGGGATAATTTTATTTTAGGCCGCTCGATTTTGATTTTTGTGTGGAACAGTGAATCAATGTCGAAGATATCGCTGTTGTTATCTGCTAGCTTTAAATCAACCCGGAAAAGAGGCAATGCACGTTTATTTATACGATGTAAAATATTTGTGACCTGGATTACTTCGTGGCCTTTATCTGTAATGTTGGCTTCAATGTCTTCAACAGAGGTGGACGGGTGGAGGTGTCTAATAAAAACGCTGTACGGTCTAAGTGRCTTGGGTAGATAAGAGTGGAATTTGATTTGTTTATTGTTCGATAGGTATTCACTGATAGCGTTGTAGGCAGATATACTGCGAGGATKGATAATCAGGTATTTGAGAGTATTTTTAAAATAAAAACTCGATGGATCGAGTACTTTAAGTAAGGAATTTTTGAGTGTAGAGAAGTCGTATCCGTCACTTACGCARAAGGGGGGAATATGAGGCTTGGTCGTTGGTGGCGGTTCCAAGTAGGTGTGCGAAGAGGTGTCCTCTGCTTGAGGCGAGACTGTGACAGGCGGAGGACTGAACACCTCCGGGTGAGGATCGGCATCTTCGGAGAGAGAGGCAAATCGGTTCGGCGAAAYAAAAATTTTGTTTTTWTTAACWCCATCATTGCTAGAMGATGACGATAAATTACGTTTAGAGGATTTAGAAGCAGGCATATTAAGGTTGGGTGCCGGGTGGTCATTAGTGAAAGGCGATAACGGACGCACGCGACGAACGTCCGCTCGCGATAAACGGTACCGAACGACTCGATACCAATTATTATAATACATATTTTAACTGGTAATCATATCTATAAATTATACCTATAATATAAGTTAAGATATATTTTATACATTTATACACATGTACATATTGGAAAAACGTATAATATTTACATAAAATGAATTACACAACGTAATGTTATGTATTATTTTTTTATTTACCTAATGTTTGTAATTGTTAATAGTGGAGTTCGATAGCAGCTGCTGTACTTAGAGTGAACTTAGGTATGGTTATATAATTCATAAAATTAATTTATATAGTTTTTAACTCATATACATAGGTACATTTATATATGTTACAACTTAAAGAATCTTTAAAATAAAAAGTGACAAAAGTCGTAAGTGACTCATTTGTTTGGATACTGTGTTCATTGTTTTATCTAGATTATTGTTCCGATATTTACAAAATTGTATAAATACCCCAAAAAAATAAATGTAGTAAAATTTGTGAAAATCGGCTGTGTTTCATAGAATATAACACATATTATTTAAAGTGTATAAACATACGTAAGGTGAATGATTGAGTGTTTTAATTAAATCCCTACACAATAATAAATTATAAATCAACTTAGTAGTTATTTATTTTGTTTTTATTTTTCTTTGACAAAAACTTTCTTTGAGCCATAAAAAAAATTATAGGTAGAGCTTAAAACTAAAAAATAATGAACTTATAGTTATTTTAAATAATATCAAATAATATTATTTACTATTCTATATTTACATATTATATAATTTATTTAAACACACAGAAATACAACATTAAAATTAATATTAAATTACAAATTACAACAGGTGTTATTTATTTTTTCGCTTTAATACCTTGTTTGAATTTGAGACTTAATATTGATATTAAAATTGTAACAATTATCCAAATCGTTATTGATACAAATCCTTGCATAACTATTGGATGAAATAATCCCCAATTTCTTGCAGTTATTGATCTAAATGCGTCAACTGATAAAGTTAATGGGAAGAAATAACTAATCTTTTTTAATATCGGATCCATGGCTTCTAATGGCCACATAATACCTGAATTAAAGTAAAATATAAAATGAATTTTTAATCACAAACTTATTCATAAAAACTTACCACTTAAGAATACTTGTGACATAACCAAACATATTCCAAAGAACGTAGTAATTTTTTCGTCAAAAGTAATACTTGCCGCAAAACCTATAACATATAATTATGAGTATATCTAAAAAATTTACTATAATAACCCCTTCTCAAACTTTGTGGGTGTTTTAACTTTCAAATAAACATTTTTTATAATTAAAATCATGATCTGGAATTATATATTTATATGTTTGCATAAAATGTATCTACTAACCCATGAATGTCCCACATATTCCCTGTAAGAATACAAGAACAAAAGGCGTGGTCCAGGTACTTAAGAATGGATGGTCAAACACGATGAACTGTAATATGAATACTGTGATAGTTTGAACAATTAACATTATAATTTGTACCACCAATTGTGACATAATAACTTCGAGAATGGTGAGTCCTGTTTAAAAATACATTTAATTAATATTAAAACACCAACCTAATATTGTAGTAATATGTATAATGTATCTATAATCTATATTTATAATACCTGAAGAAAGACTTCTTTCAATTAAACCGCTATTTTTTTCCATGCTAATTGATAACGCTGTAAACAGGAACGTCAAGTATAACTCCAATCTAAAATTTTTTTAAAACTTGGTTGAAGTTTAAACACAAGAAAATATACAAATCTCAGGCGGTGGGCTCCATTAGTTCAGTTGATATCATTAAATTCGAAGTTATTTAAAAAAATTTAGTTTTAAACGTGCCTATTATAAAAGTACTGCTGTATGAATCATTTCTATAGGTTTTTTTTGTACCTATGAAATAATCTTAAAATTAAAATGTCCTACCTATATGATGATTTATGAGTTATTATGATTTCATGATGCATGATGCATGATTTTTATAGACTTCTTACTAATTTAAAAACGGTGTTCCAAAAATCCGTAAAAATTGTATTCAGTATAAATATAAATTGTATTATTATTAATTTTTATTTTTATTATTATAAATTGTATTTTTAAATACATTAATTAGAATAAATATTATAAATGTTCATATTAACATACATCGATATTATTGCTGCAGCTCCGTAATGTGACATATTAATGTCATATAAAGTTCCAAATACAGGCTTCATCAACTAAAATAAAAAATCTTTGGTTAGGTTGTATATAAAACAAAACAAATTAAGTATGATTTTTCAATAAATTAAAAAAAAAGTATTGATACAGCATAATGCATATACAGGGTGGTACATTCATACCGTTATTGGTACTGGATCTAACGCCGTAATAACTGAACTTTTATTACAATTCGTAAAAGATTGAGTGAGACTTTTATAACTTTGATGAAATTTTCCTTGGATTATTGTTTTTAGAACATAATCTGAAATAAAAACAGTTATTTTAATTTTTTTTTCATACACATAATTGGAATACTAAAATATTACTTGACAAATCCAATGATGCTATTATTGCAGATTCTTCTATATCATGTGAACTCATTATTGATGGATCATTAAATTTTACTCCGATCATATCAGTAAAATTTTTTGCAAATGTTACAAAACCCCACGTATAACCGTGTCTTGCATCTTGTCTTGCTAATTTCTCTTCATTGTATAATGTCTGTAAGTAGTATAAATTAGATTTATTTTAATTAGATTATTTTTACGATGGGGTAAAAATAAAGGAAGCATATAAGTGCTTTGGTTTCAAGAAATACTATTTTAATAGAATTGCATGAATAATTGACTATTGAAAAAATTATATATTTTAAATCACAAATTATAAATTAATCACCAGAGTTAAATCATGTTTTTCCATCTCCTTCATATATTTGCAACTTAGTGGGATGTTGCTATCACACAAATCAAACGTCTTATATGAGCAATGTGAAGGTTTTTCATAGTTGACGATTCCTACGTTGAGAGGTTGTGGAGCATGTCCAATGGTTAGATTATAAATCATTATAGTGAAAATTGGTAAGAGACAAACAAACAAAATGATTCTATAAGAAATAATTGACAAAGTTAAATTAAAATATTGAATATTTATTGTATAACAATGGTAGGTATTTAATATTATACTAACGTCCAATTCCTAACACTCCAATACCAATGTTTCAATAATTGAGCTTTGAACCGAATTGGTGAGAAAAGTGATGATTTTTCCAGTGACGACGTAGCTGGCTGTAAAATGGATTTTTTTCTTGGTTGTTCCTAATAAGTTATATTTTCGTATAAGTAAACACGAAATGCTATTTTAAGAATATAAGGGCCCGTTTTACGATCATAGTTTAATCCTCGGTTTCGCTTAATTAACTGATTTTACTGGCCGAATTCTGCGGTTTAATCTTAGTTTAACTATTGTAAAACGGGCCCCAATTGGTGTAATCTATGCTGAAGATGAAATCAATTTTACTCAACGATTATTTCTTCATTTCCTGAAGTCTGATTTTGACTGAGTATTAAAAAGGCACTTTCAAGAGTATCAGCATTGCAAGACGCCATAATTTCTAGTGGAGGCGCTTCCGATAGTAAAACTCCTTTCCTCATTAAGCCTATCTGAATTCAAATTGAGTTTAACATCATAAAAATGTTATTACAAAATATAAACATAATTAACAAATTTACTGTATTTGCAAGTCGTGCTTCTTCAATGTAATGCGTTGTAATGATTATTGTTTTTCCACGGTTTGTTAAATCTTGTAAATACTCCCATATGCTAAATAAATTCATATTTATATAGACATTAAGTGCTCGAATATAATATAATAATAATCGCCAAAAGACAAATATGCTTAACTTTTTACTTTTTACCATTTAATATTTATATAATCTTACCTTGCACTAATGATTGGATCGAGTCCGACAGTTGGCTCATCTAATATCAACAAACTGGGGTCGTGCAAAAGAGCTGTACACAATGAGAATCTTCTCTGTTGTCCACCACTATAAATTATTTTTCAATATTATATTATCAATGTGAAATTATAAGTTTGTTATATTAATACTTTTTTTTTAATTACCTCATTGAACCAAATTGAGTCTTGGACGGGGGCATTTCCATTAAATTGATCAACTTTTCACCTTTATCTTTAATATCTTCATAAGACATTTCGTATAAAGACCCAAAATAGTGGAAAGTTTCTAGTATGTTAAATTCATCGTATAGTGCTAAATCCTAAATGAAAATGTGAAATAATCACCGTAATATTATATGTATCTAATTGTAGTACAAATACACATTAACTATAGCCATACTTAATTTTTTCAGTACCTATAAAATAATTTATATTGCATTATAAGTACTGAAAATAATATATTATTACCTAGTGATCAATATCAGTAAATTTTTTTCAAATTAATTAATGTTCAAAGCGTTCAACAAAAATCAGTTTTAAAAATTATTTACTGTTTTAAATTTTTAATGAATAAAATAAAGTATAAATTAATAAATAAGTAATCAATTAATTTTGAATGATGTATATTTTAAATAAATACTAAGCATATTTTTTAATTTTATAGCGCATAAATTCATACATGTTTAATGTTTATTCGATTTTCTAAATCATAAGTATCCACACCCTAATCATAAGCATTTAAAGTTTAGATGAATGAGTTGGTGTGGTATAAGGGCTATCTGAAAAATCTTGGTCAATTAAAACTTTAAATGCTTATGAACTTATAGAGCTACCTATGTGTCTAAAATTTGATTTTTATAGATTAAAATACTCCGAAAAATATTTTGTTTCGGAATATGAAATTAAAAACGTATTTTAACATTCAGAAGAGTTAAACATTTAAATAATTAAATTTTTTTAATAATTAAACATTTTAAAAAAAAGTTATAAAGATAGAAAATTTTATGAAAATATTTTTTTTCTTCAAAAATTTGGCTTTAAATTGTGCAAAATAAATATTTTTAAAAAGTTAGTGTTTCCTGGAATGAAAAGCGCTTCATGTTAAAATGTTAAATGCATAACCCAGAGTTGGCGCTTTCCATTACCGCACAAACATGACCCAATACCGCACAAAATGCATAACCCAATACCGCACAGATTTATAAAAAGGTATAGCCTAAATCCGCATACAAAAAATGGTATGATACCGCAAAAAATTTATTAAATATAAAAATTTATATAGTTAAAAATACTTTTTAGTCATAATATTTGTAGTAGTATTAGTAATAGTAGTAAATTCATTTTTTCATCATTGTCCTCATCGTGTTGGTGATCTTTAATATTACTGCGAATTAAAACCATTTTTTCATTGTTGGTGATAATAGTTACATTACATGTTTTTTGCACACACCACCAAACAATATCACCTGAACTTTTATTATTTCTAAAATAACGAAAGTTATAGTTGTCGAAATGAATAGAACTATTACCACGGTTATTAGTAAAAAGTTTAAACATATTGTATTGATTTTATTTATTTTATTTTAAATGTCACGTGGAATAATTCAAAGATTGAAAGACGACTAAAAACACACTACAAATKTTTACACTGCGAATACAATCTTTTACAGATAAAGCTTAATAATGTCGTTATAGATAATTGTCGATAAGTGACGATAATCGTCCAAAATAAACGTGTGCGGCAATGGGATATCCAGTATTTTAAAATCTGTGTGCGGTTTTGTCCCATGCGTATTTTGCGCTTTTGTGCGGTAACGGGCGACGCCCCCCAGAGTACCTATTTTGTTTACGAATATCATCCGATAAAAGTTTAAATACTCGTTAATGGATACTCGATAATATAAAAATTATAAAATTATACATATTATCTAGGTAGTATAAGACCTATATATATTTAGTTATATACCAATATTTATTATGTATGTATTGCCTGGGTTCAGCATAGTGTAGCTGCTTTAATCAAGTCGCTAATAATATATAATGCTATCTACTTGTTACTATAAAGGGTAAATACAAAAAAAAAAATTATATTAGTTATTAATTCAAGTTATTTATTATATTAAACCAAAAATAAGATAATACCCGATAAACGGGTTACGTGATATTTATTGAGATAAAGGTCACGGTGACTGAGAAATAATTCGCCAAAAATATTAACAAATGTGGGTATAGAATTAAGAATTTAAATTTATACTTATACGTAGATCGTATTTCAAAACTTGTTTTAATGTTTTCCATATTGTTCCTACTTGGTATATAATAGAAATTATAATTTATAACATAATAATTAATGTGAATGTATGAAGTAGGCAGGTATTTAATTATTCAAAAAAATAATTTTTTATTTTACCAGCCTAAGGGTGAGTACCGAATTCACTACTGCTTATAGGAAGTGCTTTAATTTTGTTGTGCATCCATTTCAGTTTACAATATTATTTAAAATAATCAATTATTTACTGATTAAAACTACGATAGATGTAGAACGAGTGATTCATTGAATCGTAAAGATTTTAAAAAATAATATAATATAATATTGATTATCATCTGTCATATTATATGTATTAAATTTTTTTTTATGCATTTCTTCTAAATTATAATGGTTTTTTTTTTGCAATTACCTGTGGCATGTAACCTATTTCTTTTTTCTTTTTTACAGAAAGTTGAATGTGTCCAGAGTCCAATCTACCTCGGCCAATGATACAAGAGAGTAACGTTGTTTTGCCACATCCACTTGGTCCTAATAAGCCATATCTATATCAAGTAAAATTTAATAATATAATATTAAATTATTATCAATTAAAATATAGAGGCATAGAGTACCTATATATAAATCAAAAACAAAGTCGATTAAAAAAAATAATTAGTTACATTGTTCCTTTTTTCACATTCATGTTGAATCCATTTAATACGACAGCCGCTGAGTTGTATGCTTTATAAGCATCAGTGATTTTAACAGCTAAATTTATATCACTGCTTGTTTCACGCACATGATCGAGGTTGATGTCTTCCATCTTAAGATTTTGGACTATTTACAAAAAGAAAAAAATTATATCACTATATATGCATATTAAGTTTAATGTATTATTCAAATCATAGTTGTCTGATACAGCATTATAAATTGTATATATTATATTACTTAAATAATAAAACATAATAATACTACAAATAATACACAGTTTTTCAAAAATGATAACTTCTATAAAAACATAATTTTGTACATCACGCATTTCTTGATTAGATTTAAAACAGTAATTATTATATACAATACATATATATACATATTTTCGATCTTATTAAAAAATTAACACTGAACCTTGACCTTATCCAATAATGTAGCAGCGTACCTAAAGATTTTTTTTTTTTTTTATTAATCTCAAAAGACCGCGGTGGCTCATTGGTCTACATTGCATTACAATATTACAATATTATTATTATTAACATTATTAACATTATAAATAAACATAAGTATTAACATTTATAAATATATATACATAAACCATAGAGGTTATATTACATTGTATAAGTTGGTTTTTTTTAAAAACATAAATAATTTGAGTGTTGTGGTTGCTTCCGGGCTGAGTATTTCAAATAGATGGGTGGTGC